AAAAAAAAAAAAAAAAAAAGTCCTGTTTCCACAGTCTGCTTCCTCTTAAACCCCATCGTACCACACCTCGCTCTGCCTCCCCCCGAGGGAACAGGACCAGGAGCCCCGAAGGCCCTCTTCTGGGTCGGTGGGGCCACCGTCACGCAGCGACAGCCAACTGGACAAACCAGCCAGCCCCAGAGCGGGGCCTGAGTCAACGCCCACACAGGAGGTTGCTGAAATCCGACCTGGGAGGAACCAAAGGGCCCCACGGGCCGGCTCCCCCATACCCCACGGGCTCTGGAGCGGGCACAAGGGGAAGAGCCTCAGGGCTGTGTTTCCTAACGCAACCTGAGCACAAGATGCTAAAAATTCCTTACGTTTGTTGACAACATGGATGGAAACCCCAGTCTGTGCTCCTTTGTGGCTTTGTTTCTTCTTGGTAATGGAGCAATCGCTATAAAAATAGAATGTGGTGATAGCACCCTCATTTTTTCCGTGACATACCTAAGACGCTGGGGGAGGTGCCACCCTGAGGGGGCAGGTGGGCAGTGCCCAGGGGCCCAGCTGGCCCCGGGCCTCACAGGATGGGTGGAGACCCACTCTCCAGTGTTCTCCCTCTGTCAGATGGGACTTGGCCTGGAGGCCTTCTTTTCTTTGGCGTTTTCTTGATGCCCATTTCCTGTTGTGACTGTCCCCAACCCGCTTGGTACACAGGGTGGCAGCGTGGCAGGGTGGCAGGGTGGCAGGGGTTGGCGCCCTGTGAGGGCTGAATTCCAGGCAGGAGCGGAAGGCTGTGTGAGCCGAATCTCAGGGTGGGAGCGGCCCTGTCTGACTCAGGGTGTGGGGCACACGGCGGGGACCTGCCGCAAGACACAGCACCCCTCCCCGGGCGAGGGGTGTGGGGAGGGAGCACCCTGACCACCTGCCAAGGGGGTACAGGACAAAAATCAGCTGGCATCTGGAGGAGAAACCTCTTGTGGGACAGTCCCGGGAGGTGAGGTCCCTAAGCCAGAGTTTCTGCATGTTGTCCCGATGGGCATTTGGGGCTGGCTAAGTCTCTGGGCTGGCAGGGCTGTCCTCAGAGCTGCGAGCTGCTTAGCGGACTCCGTTGCCCCCACTCACCAGATGCCACTGCTTTGCCCTTCCCCAGCCAAGCTGTGCCAAACGGAAATGCTTCCAGGGTTGGGGTAAGCTCGGTGCTGGAGCGCCTGCCGAGCCGTGCAAGGCCCTGGGTTCCATCCCCCGCGTCACCAAGTACGTATGCTATCCGGAGGCAATGTCAGCCTCCGTCCCATTCCCCCGAGAGAACAAAAGTGTACCCAAGGGCAGACGCTCTTCCCCAGCCCTTCCCAGCTGCAGCCAGTGGTTCTCTCCATTCCTTGGGTCTCTCTCAATTTGGTGTCTTTTTTTTTTTTTTTTCCGGTACTGGGAATCGAACTCACGACCTTGCGCTTGCCAGGGAGGCGCTGTGCCGCTGAGCTAAATCCCCAGCCCCAATCTGGTGTCTTTCTTATGCACTTCTAATTCTGAGACTTCTCCCCTCCGTCCTGCACAGGCAGGGCACAAGCCGCAGCAGAGCCCGTGTAACAGCCGGAAGGGGAAAAGCCCCTACGGCCTCCTCACCTTAGGCTAAGTGTCACTTGCAGAGATGAGAGGGTGTTGGCTTAGCTGTGTGTCAACACTTAACGGGCTCCGCAGGTTAGCACGACCCTGGCCGTGACCCGGAGGGGACACAAAGGCTTGAGTGAAGAGACATGCTGCCCCTTTGTGATTTTGCCGACGTCACCTGCCCGCCACAGTCCTCCCGAGGGCCACTAGCTGTCTACTCTGCCACAAGTCCACCCGGGCGAGAAGCATTTAGTTGGAACCGATAAGAAAACTAATGTCTGAGAGCAAAGGGAGGGTTGGGAGCCAAGTCACATAACCCAGTGAGAGTGGAGCTGCGACCACAGCCCAGTCCGCATGTCTTACTGAGGGTGTTTTCCGTGAGGTTCACAGTACAAAGGACCATCCGCGCTGGACTCCAGCTAACATGAATACGCCAGAAATACCAGGGTCCAGGACTCAATCCTGATTTGAAGGAAAACTTAGGCTTATAAATATATATTTATGCTGATTCAAAGGAGAAGCTGGGGCGTGTTAAGAATCGCTGGATGGAGTGGCGCACACCTGTAATCCCAACACTTGGGAGGCTGAAGCAGGAGGATTGTTGCGAGTTCGAGATCAGCCTGGGCTACAAAGTGAGCTCAAGGCCAGCCTGAACTGCATAGCGAGACCCTGTCTCAGAAAAACAAAAATGAAAAAGAAAAAAAGAATTAGAATGAGCTCCAAGAGTATCCAGGGAGTACCTCTTAAGAAGTGACTTATTCCACCCTGGGTATGCTGGTGTATGTCTGTAATCCTAGCTACTTGGGAGGATGAGGCAGGAGGATTTCGAACTGGAGGCCGTTGCAAGACCCTGTCTCAAAATAAAAAAAGGTTAGGGATGCAGCTCAGTGCTTTCTGGGTTCACTCTCTAGTACTGGGGGGAAAAAAGTGACTCAGGCAAATAGGTCTGCAGTGACCCAGGCAGAGTTCTAGGACTTCCGAGTCCGGGCGCGGCCCCTGAGACTCCCAGTGTTGTGATTGGAAGGGAGCTTAAGGTCATTGGCTTGACTGCCTCACTTGACAGGTAAAAAGCTGAGCTTGGCCAAGTTCTAAGACAGAGGGTGGAAGGGTAGCTGCCGGAGCCAGGGGAAGGAGCTATTGTTTATGGGTGTGGAGATTTGGAAGGGTTCTGGAGTAGAGGGTGGGGAGGGCTGCCCAGCAATATGAGCAGACTTGGTGCTCTGTTTTTTGTTTTTTGTTTTTTTTCCAGTACCGAGAATCAAACTTACGACCTTGCGCTTGCCAGGTAGGCATTGTGCTGCTGAGCTAAATCCCCAGCCCCAGACATGGTGCTCTGAACTGTGTGCTTGAGAATGGTTGCAATGGCGCTATGTGTATTTTACAATTGAAAAAAAGAAATAAAAGCAAAAGAGCTAAGCTTGGAACCTAAAGCCAAAACTGCAAAGACCAGGCGCCTCTCTCGGTCTGTGAGCCCACCCAGGCACGCAAGCCTCTTTGGTGGCCCCCAAAAGTCTCTCCAGGGCCCTGTCCTGGAGCTGCTCCTTGCGGAAAGGCCGGCCCAAGCCCTTTTGCTTATCGAGGGCGGGCTTTTCCTTTGTATCACTCCTGGGGAAAGGGGGCTCTGCAGCCAAAACTGAGCCGCGTCCCAAAATAGCCGGCGCTGCAGTGCTGCTGCCCGAAGGTGGTTGGCAATGAGAAAGAAGCACCAGCTGAGACGCACTCTGTACCCAGGGAGCCCACGGGTCTGCCCAAGCCCCTGCCTTCATTTCCCTGGGTAACTTTCATTTCCCTGGGTGACCCCGGCGCACGCATAGTGTTTCCGGTTGTCCCCACCAGCCAATCCTGAGCAATCGTGCCAGGATCTTCAGGGACTAAGAAAGGCCCTGGTCCTTCTAACAAGGAGCAGAACCAGTGTGGCACAGTCAGAAGAGGGCACAGAGCGCCCACAGAGTGGTTCTCAGAGCGTGCCTCCCAGGCTGCCAACAGTACCAGCGGCAGGTGGGAACTCACTAGAAATGCAAATTCTCCGACCTACTGAATCAGACTTTTTTTGGGGGGAGGGGCACCTTATAAACTATGTTTTAACAGGCCGGGTGTGGTGGTGCACGCCTGTAATCCCAGCACTCAGGAGGCTGAAGCAGGAGGATCGCTGTGAGTTCGAGGCCAGCCTGGACTACAAAGTGAGCTCAAGGCGAACTTGAACTGCATAGCGAGAACCTGTCTCAAAAAACAAAAGACAAAAAACAAAAATCTATGTTTTAACAAATCTGAGAACCATTGATCTATACCTAGCCCATCCCTCTGATCTCACACAGAAGGTGACTGGGACTTTGGGTGTTTCCACGTCTTGCCTGGGGACTACCTGATGATGTAACTCCTAACTTCTGACGTAGATACAGTGTGGTTCTCCTGTTAAGTGAATGACGGTATAGAAGCTACACCATGAAAGGGGGACAGTGCAGAAGCATGTGGCCGCTTTGCTTGGGCAGCAGAGGGGAGATGGGAAGGTTCTGAGGAGCAACACCCCGGACCGGCCTCCCTAGATTCAGTCCCTGCTTCCTCACTGGCTGTGGGATAAGGACACATTATTTAACCTCTGGGCCCATTTCATCATCCGCCCTAGGGTGACCGTGAGGGCTGAGCGAGGGCACTAAGGTCTCACACACAGGGAGTGCTCAGCAGACGGTAGCTAGAACTATGACAGAGCCAGAAGCTCTCTAAACCCAAAGGGAACTAGAGTACAGAGAGAAAGAAGTTACTATCCAGCAACAGCGATACTCGGTCCATACAAGTGCAGCGTATCCAGGGCAGTGTGGGGACCTTCGAGGGTGCATGAGAGGGATGGGCCATGACACTGGAGGGAAGTTTAGACCAAGGGGAGCTGCACATGAGCGGGAAAAGCCCAAGGGAGGTGGGCGATGAGGGGCTAAAGGACCTGGCTCCTTGGAGAGTCACGCTGCTTCCTCCAGGCAGGGAGGGGCCTGACCTGCAGGGAGGTGCAGGGGAAAGGGGCTGTACCGCAGCTGGTTTCTGTTCAGGAAGCCACAGGGGACTGAGGAGCGCAATCCCTTCCATAGATACCTCCCTTTAGTAAATCAGCAAGAGGAAAAGGAAGAAGAGGAGTCAGCCGTGGCCTGCGGGGTCCTCAGCAGCAGCCGAGAGGAAGTATTCAGAAACAGGAAACTCCTTGGCTTCCGGGACAAGCGCCTTCCAGGTGAGGTCAGGCTGAAGACTTTAGGCGGCTGCAGGTCCCGAGGATGGAGCCCGTGCAAGGCGCAGGGCTTTCTCCACCCTCAGCCCCGGGCAGGTTACAGAGCTGTCCGGTTCTCTGGTGTTAGAGACCCCGTCGTAAAGGGACCAGAGCCCTAACTGTCTCCCGAGGTCCAGGCTGGGCAGGGAGAGCAGCCTGGCTTGGGACTTGGAGACCATTCTGTCCTAGTCCTGGGAAGGCCCTGTACTCTACGGCCCAAGTTCCTCCTGTGGTTTTCAGGTAAAACTGAATGCTCACCGTATGGTGGGTAGAGTATACTAACTACTTGGGGTAAGTAGTAACATTTCCTGTGATTTTTTGTTTGTTGCTTTGTTTTTGTCTTAGACAGGGTCTCACTATGTAGTTCAGGATGGCCTTGCACACAGACTGGCCTCAAACTCGCAGCAATCTCCTGCCTCAGCCTCCCAAGTGCTGGGATTGTATCCCTCTTTCCCATCCAATCCCATCTCCGTGAAATAGTTGTAGAAACTGAGGTTCTGAGGACTAAGCCGAGTTGGTCAAAGCTCCACTGCTGGCAGTGGCAGCACGGGGCAGCGGCTCCGCGACTCCCAGCAGAGCCAGGGCTGTGTGCAGTACCACCAGGCGGGGTTCGATGATGCCCAGGGTTCCGGTCTGAGGCCGGGATCAGTTTTACAAAGCTCAAGACTGAGAAATCTAGAACTAACCTTGGGACTCCAAGAAAACCCGCTTGAAGACCTGACTACCCCGAAGCAGGTGCAGAAAATCAGACCCTGCACTTCAGAGTACGCTCCGAGGCATAAGAGTTATTTTGAGTTGGGGGCAAATGCAAATCAACAGGTGTAGACAAGAGCCTTCCTGGAGCTTTCTTCTCTGACTAAAAGCAGTAACTTGCGAGCCCGGAGACGATTTAAGGGACGACTTAAGGCCAGGAAGACACAACGGCGGCACTGAGATAGACCTGCACACACAGACTTCCCTCTCCTGCTTCTGCCCAGATATCTACCTCCCCTGGAAGCCGAAAGCCCCTTTTCCTTTGTTAAGATGCTGTACAGACCTTACGTTCTAACTCCTTATCCGAGTTACTCATCACTGGGACTTCTGTGTATCGCAGCTCGTTTTTTTTTTTTTTTTTTTCTCTTTTTGAGACAGGGTCTCGCTATGTAGTTCAGGCTGACCTTGAGCTCACTTTGTAGCCCAGGCTGGTCTTGAACTTGCAACGATCTTCCTGCCTCAGCCTCCCGGGTGCTGGGATTACAGGCCGTGTATCACAGCTGTACCAAGGCTGCTACTGGTAGCGTGAGGGGACCGCAGCCTGGATGCCTCAAGGCAGAGGTGGTGAGAGGACAGCTTCCAGCAGCAGAGATCCCTGCAGCCACCTACTCCACCAGCTCCCTTCCCAGAACCAAGGCAGTGCAGCTCTGTGGTCGGGAGTGTGGAGTCTGGCTCGTGGAAGGGCCGGTTCTTAGGGATCCCATGGCTGTATGACCTTGGGAAGTGTCTTAATCTCCTCTGCCTCGATATCCTCATTTGTAAAATGGGATTCATTGTGAGGCTGGAAAGATGTGATGCACGTAGATCGTGTGGCACGTTCAGTACGCACGCAAACATGAGCTTTTGCAGAGAGCAAAGCCACTGAAAGCCAACAGTTCGGCACTGGGCCACGGGAGTGAGGAATCTCAGGAGCCACCAGCAGAGCAGAAGGGGCCTGTTTGCACAACTGCTCGGTGAGACTGACCTCCAGCCCTGCCTTCCTTTACTTCTGTGTTCCACTGGACAAGCAGAGAGAGCCCCTTTATTCCGAATTTATATTCTGCTAGCTCCGAGTGTACTGGGAGTGCAGAACAGGTACTTGAGCCAGAATTTCTCCAGAAAATGTTTTTCAAAATTCATTCAGTGTCAAGTCCATGAGGGGCTAAGTTTCTGCTCTAGTCATGAATATAGTAATTTTTTTTAAAAGATGCATTCAGAGGTGATCACTGTTTGAGATAAAACGCAGGTTATTCAGGTCATTAAGCAGACCCTTTATGTCTGATGTATTGCACGTAACGTGATGGTCTCTAGGGGCGTCTATTTTCCTACAGACGGCGCAAGTTTATCCTTTTTTTTTCTTTGGTACCGGGAATTGAACTCAGGACCTTGCGCTTGCCAGGCAGGCGCTGTGCAGCTGAGCTATATCCCCGGCTACACAGACCCTTTAAAACAGCATTTCTCAAATGTTGGTGGTGTCAGAAAGGACCCTGACAGGTGCTTGAGTTCGGATTCCAGAGACTCCGATTCTGCGGATGGGCTGGGCTGGAGGTGCTGCAGCTGCTGCTGGTTCACCGCCGACACTCAGAGTAGCCACTTTTTATGCTCATTTCCCAGGCAAGCTAAGTTCAAAGAATTCATGACATGAAAAGTCCGCCGTACAAAGCAAGAGCTTCACAGAACCATTTCCCCTGGCCTGCTTATGCTTTGGGGTTGCTGACTTACTTGGAGAATTTAAAAGTAGCCTGTGGATTTCGTTTCATCAGACTAAAATATGGAGCAAGTACAAAAGAATGTAAGCGGGGCTCCCCCAGGTCATGCCCGCCTGGGCGCCCTTCAGCGAGGAAGCGGTGGATGATGGGAGCCCAAGAGAGGCCGGCAGAAAGCAAAGGAAGAGGGAGCAGATTTGTAAACCCAGCCCCAGCCCCGAAGCCAGCGCACTTACTAGGATCGGCTTTCCGGATCTCACTGTACACCGTGTCCGTGCCCTTTGTTCCTGGAACTGGAAAAGGGACCGGGCACAAGTTAGTAGCCGTCTCTGGGCTCAGGCCAGCACACTGCTGTGTCTACCGCCCACCCTGGCAGTGCCCAAGTCCAGAAGCACCAAGACCTTGTCATCCCCAACCTCAGATCCCAGTCTACCCAGTGTCACCCTCGGGCTGGACGCAGGAGGCCAGCAAGCCGTCGTGAGACGCGGCTGCCTGCAGAGAGGAGGCCTGGGCCCGGGGGCAAAGGGCCCTGTGCTCTGCACAGCCCTGAGCCCCCAGCTCGGTGGCTGCTGCCTCTCTGCCTGACACGGCCACCCTGTGCCAGCTGCTTTGCCGGGGCTGGGTCATGGCCTCTCAATTTCCTCAACAGTCTGGGCCCTGAAATCTAGACCTGGATCCCCAGGTCCGGCTTGGATCCTGGCATCACAGTGACTATGACAGTCAGCTGGGCCTGAGGAAGGCTAGGAGTTCTGGCCGGCTGGACTCGCTAAGAATCCACTGCCCAATCTGAGTGCACGGGTCAGGGCCAGCCCTGGAGCGGTGTTTCCAAGAACTCCCCAAGAGATTCTAATAGGCAGCCGGGGTTGAGATGCTCCGGCCTAGACGATCTTACAACGGGTGTGAATTGCACCCAGAGGTGACTTGCAGGCTTGGGAGACAAAGAACACCCATTTCTTTCATGCTGAGGTGTGTACACCTGTGCACGTACACACGGTGTGCATACACGCTTGCACTGTGTAAACCCGCATATAGCACTCTCACATACAGTGTACCTACAGATGTGCACACCGCACATCTGTACACAGTAGCCACACTCACACATGCGAGTACACACACACACACACACACACACACACCCTGAGGAAACACAATGGAGTCTGACCCCTTCCCAAGCTCCTCTCACCTCCACGAGAGACCAGGTCTCACTGTAGATAGGAGCCTGACGGGGGCCCAGATAGGGAAGGGGACCCATGGTGTAGCTAGGGAAGGGGTGGCGCATGGGAGAAAGGGCTTGGTGCCCAAGCGTGGGGGTGTCTTGTGCACCCCGCTAACCCCCAGTCCTGCGGGATGGCTGGATCTTTGTGGTCACATTAGGGCCCAAGCGGTACAGCCTGACTCCCTCCGTCACCTTGTAACTCACAACGTTAGCTGTGGCAGCAGGGGTGGTTTCTACTAGATCGCGCTGCGCCTGGGTTCTGCCCCTGCCCGCTCCCTTCCCGTGTGCCCAGCTCAGGACTGTCCCCCCTTCCTCTTGCTGCCCCGTAGCGGCAGCTGCCTGCTGATGACTAAACCAGGCGGGCGGGCTGTTTGTCTCCCCTGTCAGCCGTGTTTCCGGACGGAGCTGTATTTTAGCCTCTGTTTTTCTCCGCGTTAAAGAGAAAGAGATGGCTTCAACGTCACGGGGTTTTCCCAGCAATTAGTCTCGGAGCAAACATGCAGCAAACTGGGATTTAACAAGTTCCTTCCCGCCCCTCCTCCGGCCACAATAAACACTTGGTCAGCGGCCAGCAGGGTTGGAGCTCCTCTGGCTGGGGGCGGTTTGAGCACAGGACACTGTATTGGTCAAGACCAGGTCACGCTAACCGACCACTGGGCTCGGACCTACACAGCCCTCGCCTCACCCAGCAAGGCCCACTCCCGTCCCACTGTCCCTCAGCTCCGAGGAGGCGGCTGCAGCAGAAAAACTCAAGCTGGAGTCTCCAGCGCAGCGGTGGCGAACATACGGCCCTTGTGCCGCAGCGGGCTGTTGGTTATGGTTGAGGGCTCTAAAAAGTTTGCCTTTAGAGCTCCACAGGCTCCCGCTGCTATCCAGGTGACACTAGTCCCAGCTCTCCCGGCCCCCGCTGTGCACACAGCACCCGTACTTAAGCTGGGAAAGGCAGCCAGTAGGTCCGGATGCGACCTGCGTCCCCAGAGCTCAGCAAGGAAAGCACGAGGCAACTCCACCGCCTCACCCCGTCCTAGGAGTTCTGACGCCTCACTTGCCCCTCAGCCCCCTCCTACCTTTAAGCAAGAAGAAGAAAATCCGATGCCATTAATGTGCTAACAGCCCAGGAAGCGCAGCGATTAAGGGGCGTGCGGCTGGATCAGGGAAGGCGGGCGGGCGCCCGGCACGGAGCCTTCCATCCCAGCCCCCAGGGTCCCTGTGTGGTCTCCTTTCAGGAGTCTCCTGGGGACTCAGTGAACCCAGCTGAATCCGATCTCCTGATGAGCTTGTTCCCCCGACCTCGGGCGTCACACCCGTCTCTGCTCTTGCTGCATCAAGCAGCGCTCCGTGCAGCGGTTCTGGCCGCTCTGCCCTGGCCACTGCGTTGTCACCGGGCGCCGTGATCCGCCTCCACGGTGTATCTAGAACCCACCTGTCGCCGGCGCCCTGGCCTCACCCTAGCCGCCACTTGCCCGGTGATAACGTCTCAGTGTCTCTGCTTCCATTCTTGCGCCCTTCACCCTGCTTCTATGCGCGCCAGGAGGGTGATTTTTAGGGAAGGAAATCGGAACCTGCCACATCCTTGGCTGAAGCATCCAAACACTGCCTAATCCATTTAAAATAGGATGCAAAGAAAACCTTAGAGGCCCTGTGTGCTCCAGCCCCAGCATGCCCTCCCCTTTTTTTTTTTTTTTTTT